ACAAGGTTTAAAATGGGCAAGTATTGTTAAGCACATGCACACGATTTGCTGAATGTGCTTTGGGGGAAAACACGCAGCCTGAAGCTCAGCGTCTTTGTAAAAGGAGACGTCTGCCCACACAGAGAGGAAAATGCGGCCTTGAACCTGCACATGACGCTCTGCAGGATGGAGGCGAAGGGCGTGATCCCGATTCCTGCCCCGATCAGCACCGCGTGCTCCGACGTGAAGATTCCACGCGTGCAAGTCCCGTACGGCCCGTCGATGTAGCACTGGGGGAGGCAGCAAGGAAGAGCACGAGGCGGGCAGGATCCTGCCCTTTGCAAATGAAAGCAGGTGGCTTGCGGGGTCGGGGAAGGCCCGCCGGGGGCCCAGCAGCGGGGTGGGCCGAACGCACGAGTAAATGGGCTCCGGATTCGCCCTCCAGCTCAGCAGACCAGCCAGCGGGGCCTTCCATGGCCAGTCCTTTGAGAGAAGTGGCCTTCACATGGGGAGGGAAGCGGCACAGGTCCAGAAGGCGAAGGCACAGCGGTGCTGGAATCACCTCAGCTGATACGAGCCCAGCCAGCGCCTTCCGAATTTGTGCGTGGATTTTCTGGGGGTGCCCCTGCCTTGGCCACTGGCTACCCTCCTCCGGTCGCTCAGGCTGATGCTCGGTTCCCTCCTTCTCCTGGAAAGCGCCCTCCCCCACTCCGCCACCTGGGCCAAGCACTGGCTCCGGGAAACCCGAGGGGCTTCGGCGGCTGACGCTCCGGGTGGACCGCCCTCTGCCGGCCTGCCCCTCCCCGAAGGCACACGGCCACGGCGTGAAGGAAAGGCCCGAGCGGCAGCTCTTACCTTGATGTTGCAGCGCTTGCGGGTCTCCCTGAGCAAGCCGGGGACCTGTCACGCAAAGGCCACTGTGTTAGCAGGTACCCACTCGGCAAGCAAGCCTCCCTCCTCCCGCTTCAGGCCACCTTATGAGTCAGAGAACCTGCGGATTCATCAGGAGGTGTGTCCCTGGGTGACACGCACAAGCACTTGCGCTTTCCCAGCTGCAGGTCATGCCCTCTGTGCCCTTCTTGGCAAGAAGCCGGAGCGCTGTTTGCGCACCGCGAAGCCAGCAGCTGGACTTAGTGCGAAGCTTGGCATAACCCTCGAGCGGCGAAGAGAACGGCCGGGGCCTGGGGAACCCGCCGCCCCACGGGGTGTCGCACAGCACTCCATTTCAGCAATGCTGGCAGCGGAGAAACCCACTGGGCCGGATAAAGGCGACCCTGCTGCCCAGAAAGGGCTTCTTAGCCCCACAGAGAGAAGCAGGAGGGAGGGATTAACGGAGAGGGCCGTGGAGGGTGCAAGAGGCAGGTCTGAATCTTCGTGGCTGCCTCTCCGGATGCCACAGAACAGATGTCCGCACGCGCCTCCGAGCAGAGACTTGTCCCCACGTAAAAGTCTCCCGCCGTTGTTGGTGCTGCTGGAGAGAGCCAGCCTCTGCCTGTCGGCGGTTGTGCCTGCACCGGCCGTCCTTGATGGGGCAGCCCGCTTGCTGGTGCTCGGGTGCTTCACGGAGAGCCAATGACCACACCTCAATGGGCAATTTACCTGGCAGGAAAGGGTCCACACAGGTGGGAGGGGTGGCAATTGCACCTTGAGGGGGGCCTTTTGAGGGGGGGCAGGCCAAAGGTGGGAGTTTCGCTGGATGGAAAGAAACTTCCTGCCACTGCTTTGGGAATTGGCCAGAGGTTCTCCCACCTGCTGTTTGCTTCTGGGCCACTCTGTCTGTACCTCTGTAACAAGGGTGTGTGCCTGCCTGCCTGCCTGCCTGCCAGCAGCATGGCTTCAAGACTGTAAACCATACTCCTGACGCTTGGCAAACGGCCTCAGGGCTCTCTGGTTTCCAATCGTAGAAATTCACCCACATTCATTGAGACGTGTCTCCATGTTTGGAGCTTGCAGTGCCACCTTCGGCCTGCAGGGGGCAGCGTCCCTGACCGACCATTGCCCTGGAGTTGCCGAGGGGATGTGCAGGCTGAAGGGCTTCCTCGCATGCCCGGCCCCTTCCTCGCTGCTGCAGGGGGAAACGGAGTGAGGGACCATTCCCTCGAGGGCTGGAGAGGCCCTCCCCGGCAGGTGCAACCAGCTCAGCACCTCTTGGCGTCTTCCCTGCATCCCCCTCCACAGGCATGAAGGCGAGCCCGCCCCTTGTTTGCTGATCAGGCAGTGCTGCTGGAGGCCCCATGAGCTGAGGGCTCTCTCGACCCAGACCCTGCCCCTTTGCCCTGGGCTTAGGGGAGAGGGAGGTGGCCACTGATGCAGTGGGGGACAGATCCAAAGGCCGGGGGTGCCCATCTCCACCAGGAGAGACTCGCTCCTTCCTCTTCGAAAGGGTATGTTCACCTCCTCCTGCTTGCTGGCTGTGGGGATTCCTCTGGTCTCCTGCCCAGGACTCCAGACAGGCGTGTAGGATAGGATCTCGATCATCTCATCATTACTGGTGGCCACAGGCTGGTCCAGGTGAGAGGAGCGCAAAAGACATTTCTGGAACAGGAGTGCAGGGAGACATCTTTTGATCCAGCCAGCAGCAGCGCAACCGCCTCATCCTCACCAATCTTTCATTTATGTCACTCTGCCCTTGCACCCAGCTTAACAAGAGCCAGGCCACTGGGAGCATTTAGAAACAGAGAAACAGAGCGAGTCAGAAGGGGCCTCCTGGGCCATCTAGTCTGACCTCCGGCACCAGCCGGCTCTGCTCACGACATGCCCACCATGTGCACGTCCAGCCTGTCCTTGAACACCCTCACCGATGGGGCCTCAACCACCTCCCGTGGAAGCCCATTCCACACCCTCGGGGTCCTAACTG